TGCTCCATGAGGACAGCCTGCACAAAGAGCGGAGGAGGTGAAGGTCAGTCTCACAAAAAGAAAGATATTTGAGGCGCAGTTGGAAAAAGTGTAGCTGCACGTACCCAGATGTAGACGCCGGCGTATTCGTAGATGTTGGGCGTCGACGAGGGAACGAAGTTGCCGGTGACGCCACAGATGGCCTCGCCCACGGGCATCTGCCCCTCGGCGGCATGGTCGACCATCCACTGCAGTCGCTTGCGCACAACCTCGCGCGGGCTCTCCTTGAGCATGATCGCCTGGTAGTCGATCGGCTTCTGCACCACCTTCTTCTGCTGCCCCTCGGCGGCGGCGGTGGCGGCGACCAGCGGTGGCAGCACCTCAGGCACGGCGTCGATCTCCTCCGACGCCGCCTCCTTGCCCTTACATTCCTCCTGCAAAAACAAACAGCGCAGGAGGTGACGTCAGCAAAGAAACAAAAGAGAAAAGGAAAAATAAACATGCTTGGCATACCTGTGTGGCCGCGTCTTCGAGGATGCGCTCGTACTCGAGCTCGGCGAAGGCGGTGAACATGGTGACGACGCCCCACGGCGGGGTGGGACCGCCGGCCTCCATGCCGCCGGGCGAGAAGATCGAGTCGTAGAAGAAGGGATCGCCGGCGTAGCGGCCGATGCCGTAGCCGCGCTGGGTGAGCTCCTTGCGTACGTGGGCCAGGTGGTAGACGGCGCGCTTGGGGTCGCCGACGCCCAGGTAGACTACCGCCACGGACGAGCCGTCGAGCCGCTCGTCGGTGGCGCCGTCGGTCGAGGCGATGCAGCGCATGTAGTACCCGCCGCGGCCGTCCGCGTCCTCCTTCCACAGGTGCGTCTCGATCGCGTTCTGCACCTGCTTGGACCGCTCCTGCATAAAGCGCGCCCTGTCCTTATCGCCCCACACCTCCTCCAACGTCGCTGCACACACACGACACTCACTTATCAGCACACGACACACACCACACGACACGACAACATGAGCGCACACGACACGCACGTGGGGTTAAATAATAAGGTTGGTACCGGCGGCTTGGAGGCCAGCGGCGGCCATGGCCTGGGTGAAGGTGAAGTAGGCGGTGGGCATGTTGCCGCCGGTGTGCGGGTGCGACGACTCCTCCCAGATGGAGTAGTCGGCCGGCGCGAAGCCGTGCATGCCCACGCCGTAGCCCAGGAAGTTCTCGATGTCGCGCACGCCGTGCTTGACCTTCTCCAGGAACGACGTGCACCTCGTCAACTGTGCACATCACGAGAAGTAGAAGAGAGAGAGAGAAGAGGTGAAGTCAGCACAGTCGCGCAGCTCTGGTGAAGTTGAGCTGAAGAGAAAAGAGAGAGAGCGCGTACGCGGTAGTGGTGGTAGACGCCCACCAGGAACGCTCCGGCCGAGTCGAACTGGGGATCCACAAAGCCCACCGGCTCACCCGTCCAGTACGACTGTAATTTAAAAATAAATAAATAAATAAATAAAATTATCGAGGTAGTCATTTGAATAATTAGTAAATAAAAATTGATAATGAATAAATATGAAAATAAATAGAAGGAAAAAAAGGACGTACGTAGCAGGTGTGGAAGCCCTGGCGGCCCCAGCGGAGGTGGCACGAGGCGGCCCAGACGAAGAAGGCGCGCGCCTCCTCGTGGTAGCCGGCGGCGTCGAAGATCATGGCAGCGAACATGCCGTCGCGCATCCAGGTCTTGTAGAGGTAGGCCGGGTGGAACGAGGCCACGATGCAGCCGACGGTCGGGTTCTGCGCGTTCTTCATCATCAGCACCGAGTGCTTGTAGAGGCGCTCGTGCTCCGGGTCGGTGAACTTGGGCTGCTTGCCCTTGGCCAGGAAGTAGGCGTAGGCCGCCTGGGTGCGGTCGATCCAGTAGGCGGGCGGCTGGGCCAGCGCGCGCTTGCACGTCGCGACGGCCTTGTCGTAGGCGGTGTGGAGGGTGCGGAAGAAGTAGAGGTCGAGCGACTGGCCGGCCGCCAGGGTCTCGCTGACGACCAGGCCGAGCGACACCTGCAGCTCCTCGGCCACGAGCTCCTTGCCCAGGTGGCCCTCCTTGTGGATGAACTGCGACAGCGGCGACGTGGCATCGGTGGCCTGCCCGACCTGGTACGACGACACGGCGTTGGCGTCCCACGTGCCCATCGTGAAGTAGCCCTGGCCGCTCTTGGTCTCGTCCACCATCCACAGCGGGACGCTCTCGTACGTGTTGAACCAGCCCCACTGCTTCACCTGCGGCGCGTCCGCGTTCTTCTCCGTCACCACATAGTCGAGCAGCTGCACACTATAACCCACACACGCACACGCACAGTGAGCACGACAAGCACACGCACACGCACACGCACACGCACAGTGAGCACGACACTCACGACACGCACACGCACGACACGACACGACACGCGAGAGGGAAGAAGAAGGTACTCGGCGGTGGACGGCCCCTTGGAGGACTGGGGGAGCGATACGCTGTAGCGGACGATGTAGAACTCCTCCTGGGGCGGCAGGTAGTAGGACCGCTTCATGGTGAACGGCAGCGGCTTGCCGTCGTAGGTGTCGATGTGGTTCTCGAACTCGCCCGTCTCCTTCAGGAACACTCGGCCGTCCCACTGCACGCGTGCAATGGCGATCGTTCCCACCATCGGTGAGCACACACTGTACACACCGCACACGCACGACACGCGCAGATGGAGGCACGCACGAGGCTAGGGTCGCTGTAGAGGGTGCCGTTGACGCGCATGGCGAAGCTCTCTTCGGAGATGGCCGACTTGGCCCAGTTGTTCTCGGCGCGCCGCATGCCCGTGACGCCCGGCGAGCGCATGGGCTTCTGGTTCGGGTTGTCCCTGGGTCCGGCCCACGTGATCGTCAAGTCCTGCACAACGCCACCATTTATTATTAATTTTATTATTATATTCATGAATGAAACATATATATATGTTCTACTATTTATGTCACTTTACATGTAAATATATGAATATGTTTCTGGGTGGCTACGCCGCGGTCAGTACCTTCCAGTTGGAGAGGATCATGGAGGGGAAGGAGAAGTCCGAGTGCGGCTTCGTGTAGGCATTGTTGCTGCTCATGTTGTGTTGGCCTTGTTGTGTGGTTGTCTGGTAGTACGGCAAAAAAACTAGCCGTTACATCGAACAGCAAAAGATGAACATGAGCCAAGTCAGTACCACCAAGACAGTGACAAAAGAACATGGAGCAAAGGAAGGAGAGGACTGTACCCAGTGTAGAGGCAATTCAAGATGAATTGAGAAAATGGAAAGATTTTTACAACAGAAAAGGAGTTCGAGTAGGAAGAGTAGGAGGAGGCTTCTCGTGGGGGGCTTGTTGCTGGTGTGTGTGTGTGCAAACGCAGCGGAGTGTGTGAAGAAATAATGAGGCGAGGGCCAAAAAAATAAAATAAAAAGGGGCTCGGAGTAAACTGAAATTCCTCTCAGTTGTCCGGAGATAACAACGTTCGGCCTATCCTTTGGTCGGGATTTCTGTTGTTTGCTTCGGTTGGTCGCTCGAGCGGCCGCACACTGAGGTCCTTCTGCGCCAGCGTGCCAAGTTAGATGAAAATGAGGTCGAGAAGTGGTGGAAAGCGATTGCAAGCAAAGGCTGAACTGTGTTCACCGGAACGAGCGCAGCAATGCAACCCCCAAGCCGGCCAGTTTGCACTTATTTGGTTTAAAATAACAAAATCGCAAATCACAACGTCTTGTTTTATATTTTATGTTTATATTTTTTTGACGTAAAAGATTAAGGAACCGCACGACACGAGCCATGCACAAGATGAGGTATATGCTTCGGCTGGAGGAGGAGAATCAGACGCCTCGTCTCTTCGACGCCCTCTACCCTTTCCGGCAAAGCAACGCCGAGGGGGCGAGCAAAATCGATGCAAATCGTACACTTCTTCGGGAACAGCCTTCGCGCACCAAGTGGGTGCGCAATCGAAGGGAGCAGTTCGTGCAGCACCAGCATCTCCTCCGCCGGCTTGTCCGCGCCGCGCCCGCCGCCAATATTGGAGATGAAGATGTAGATGAAGATGGAGATGGAGATGGAGATGAAGTTGACAATGACACCGCGACGACTCGAACTCGCAAGCGAAAGAGGCGTGCAGCAGCTTCTTCCTCTTCGTCATCTTCTACTACGTCGACTTCTGCCACGACCAGCGGCCTGTGGGAGGAGGCGGCCCGATTGCTCCCCACACCCTTTGCCCTGGAGAAGGGCACTCTCCGCTCCTTGCGCGACCTCAACACGCGGGTGGGTCTCGAGGTGGTCCGCAACACGCAGCCGCCGCGCGGCGCCCACCAGCTCGCGCAGCACCTCGCCCACGCCTACCCCGTCCTGGTACCACCACTGCTCCTCCCCTCCCCTCAGGGCTTTGTCTGACGCTCTTTGTGGTGCGCGTGTGCGTGTGCGTGTGCGGTGGTGTGTGCGTGTGCGGTGGTGTGTGGTGTGTAGATGGGTCCACTGGCATTGGAGAGGGCGTTCACGCTCGCTGGTCAGTCCCGATGGCGCGATGCATACGACTCCCTCGAGAAGTACTTCTAACCCTACATTCTTCGCACTTGAGCGCGACACAGCATGCAGACGCGGCACACAACACGATATCTAACGGCTTGTGCCGTGTGGTGGTTGGGCGTGGTGCGTGTGGTGGATGGTCAGCTTTCTGATCACGCCGGGCTTTCGATCGAATCCACTTTATGGGTCCTACTGCGGGATATTCCTGTTCATCCTCTCCTCGGCCTCCCGTACCCACGGTGCGCACGCACGCACGCAACCTTGCGACACTAACGCCACACACTAATGGCACACGCGACCACCAAACTTACACCTTTCACTTTTGGCGCAGAGGAGGAGTGGGAAGAGGACGGCGATAATCGCAGCGAGGCGTACAAGCAGCTCCTGCAAGCCAGACAGCACCTCGAGACGGCGACGGCCCTGCACGACGGCCCCGCGCTCCTCCATTTCCTTGCCAGCGTACCCTGCTCCCCTTCCCCCTTTCCCTCACGCGCGCATCCCACCTCTCCCACCGCACCAGACTCACCTTTGTGTGCCGCGTGTCGCGTGTCGTGTGTCGTGTGTCGTGTGTTGTGTGTCGTGTGCTGTTTTCTTACCGGGGCAGACGATGGTGCTTACGGGTGACGCCGAACAGGCGCTCGAAACGGTGCGTGCCTATTGCCGTCTGCACCCTCGCGACCCGCACGGACTCAGGTATGTTATTTTATTTAGAAATTTAGTTATTTGTTTAATTTGGGATTTGTAGCAGCCGAGTAATTTTTATCTATTTTAATGCAAACAAATAAATAAAATAAAACAGGCTCCAGCTCGAGCTGACGAGCAGATACGGCGACGAGGACGACCGCGTGACGCTGCAGCTCGACAGCGTCAGCTCGCTCCTTGAGCTCGACCCGGCGTCCATGCCCGGACTCGCCGCGACGCTGGACCTCTATGCGAAGGGTACGTCCACGTCCACGTCAGTCCTCTGCCCACACACTCTGAGCAACCGCCCTTATAAGCTCATCGGCCCGCACTCATGGTGGTGGTCCACGATCGTGCCAGATCACCTGTCGCTGGCCGAGGCCATCAAGCGGGTGGCCCGGCTCGTGGAGCTCATCCCCGGCGACGAGTCCCTGTGGGCGCTCCTCTGGCAGTCCCTCGAGCAGCTGGCACAGCACCATCTCACGCCCGTACGCCCTCGGCGTGTAGCCACTACTAATTCTGTAATTTATTTATTTATTTATATTGATTTGATTATTTGTATTATAGGTGGAATTATGTGATGATTATAATTCTAATAGTAATTACAATTAAAATCATCGTTTACTGCTTTGCTTCGCAGGAGCAAGAGGCCGACCTGGCGGCGTTTTGGGAGGAGAGGAGGGGCTGGTGGGCCACCCACTACTTCCACCTCGCCCTGGCCTCGCGCCTCGGACTGTGCAGCGAAACGCAGCTCTACTACCGGGCGCTCTGCTCGCGGGTGATCCTCAACGACGGCAACGACGACGACGAGTCCGCCTTCGTGCGCGCCGTTCGAGGACTGCTCGCGCCCGCCGCGGACTCGGAGGGGGATGAGGAGGAGGAGGAGGAGGTGAAGCGGGAGGCCGAAGAGGGTGCGTGGGGCCTCCTCTTCGTGCCGCCGCCCTATATCTTCGGGCGCCCGGACAGCCGCACCGGCCACGCCGGAGAGCCGCCCGCCAGACGCCGATGCCGACGCCGACGAGTACGTAGAACTCGATGACGACGCCGACGACCAACTCGATGACGAGGAGAGGCCGACGGAGGCGGTGATGCGAGATCAGGCAAAGCCGGAGGACGGCAGCAGCGGACGCCAACAACCGCCAGCGTGGCTGCAGCTGCGCGATCGGAAGCGCGAGGCGGCGCGACGCCAAGAGGAGGCATCCACCGCGTACGCGCGGCGCGAGGAAGACAACGACGACGACGACGACGACGACGACGACGACGACGACGTCGACGAACAGCAGATGAAGCTCCTGCGACACAGGCAGTCCTGCGTCTGCTGTGGCATGCGACCCCGGCAAGGTACCTTGCACCACCTGCACCCTCGTTCTCTTCTCTGACGCTTTGTCTACGCTCTTGTCCTGATGCTCGAATGGCGGACCCGCAGCCCACCATTGTCTGCACCTGTGGGGCAAGTGCCGGTGCTGTCGCCGAGAAGAGGGCGGCACCTACGGCGAGGAGGACCTATCAGACTCAGATGAAGATGAAGACGATGACGACGGTGATAGCGCGTGCTGAGTGCACTTGCGACCAAAGCATGAAAAAGAGTTTTTCTGTTTTGTATTTTATTTCTTTTATATTGTAATTATTACTTATTTATTGGACTCATTTCTTGCCAGAAAAATGCTGCGGGTGGCTGGTTCAGGAGAAGAAGGGGGCGATCTGGTAGTGCCGTTCGCGTCGTGTCTGTTCGATGTGCTGGGCCTGCCGCAGGACGCCCACAGCCATCCGTCGGTCATCCTGGATCAGTCTCACCTCCCGGATGGAATCGAAGAGGAGGACAACGAATTGGGTCTGGTGCTGCGTTTGAGGCTCGCAGGCGAGGGGGAGGCCGGGGGCGTGCCGCTCGGTCACGCCACCGACTGCCCGGCCCGACAGATGCAGCTGCGCCAAATCGAGGCCCTGCCCTCCACAGACGTGCTCGACCGAGATCGATTCAGGAAGCCGCGGGTGCAGATTGGCGTCGTAGTCCTCATCGAAGCGCACGACCACGGTACCCTCATCTCGATCCATCCATCCACCGTGACACACGCCGCACACGCTCAACCACATACGTGGTAGATGGAACGAAGGTGCTGGTAACCAGACGAAGGAACGATGCGTTCATCTTCCCCTCGGTGTGGGTGCTGCCGGGCGGCCACGCCGAGAAGGGCGAATCCCTGCTGCACGCCGGCAAGCGCGAGGTCGAAGAGGAGACCGGTACGCACCGCACACGCACCACCGCACACGCCTCGCCGCACAGCACCTTTGAGGCGACCTTTGTCGACACGAGG